GGTTTTGTAGAGAATTTTAAGCGCTATCTTTTGATAATAATGAGAGCTTTACTTACAGTGATAATAGACAGGAAATCTTAAAAATACTGGGAGGCTCATTATTCCTGGGACACCCGATATAATAAAAATTGCAGACCTCCTTCCTGCAATCCTATACCCATACCTTCCACCCTCCAGGAGTCTGGAGGACAAAAGATTTTTTCCATCTTCGAGGCTGTTATTTATATTAGTGTAATCAGACATGCTGTGCTGATTTTTAATTCATGAAAGTTTTTTTTTTATAGCGTTGTTGATTATTATCAGAATATCACCAATATACAGACACCTCCATGGAGGAATATAGACTATTCTAGATGATAATATAGCTAGTTGACAATGAGTTTTTGCTGTTCCGAATGATGTTATGTGTGAAATAAATAGAACACTGTAGTATGCAGATTTTGAGAAAGCTTCATGTTGCTATTCAGTTGTTCTGTAGTACAGAGTTGAAGACACTAAAATATCAAGTAGTAAAGAAATAACTTAGGCCTAAGAATAGGGACCAGTTTTAAGTATGAAAAAAAGCAACAATGAAAACTATTGATTATAGAAAATCAAAGAGTATATGCTACTATATTGAATTGAGTTTAGAAACAAAATTCGCATAAGTTTTTCTTAGAATATCTTAGGAACCATAATATGTATGAGTACCATATATATTTCTCAAGGATTATAAGAAGTATGTAATCATAAAACTTGATTTCTTATATACTAGTCGATACGCCGCCAATTACTCTAAAGAACCAATTGAATAGTATTTTGTCTCAGCACAGCTCATCAAATCCGGCAATGCTCTTTAAACCGCTTATCCATTCTTCTACCGATGGGCCATACGATGAGTGGCATCAGTTGAAACAGCAAAAATATTATCTCATCTACTATTTTCAGAAAAAAAACTTGTATAATGTATGTAGCAACAAATTTTAGATAAAAGATTTTTTATGGGAAATATTCTATCGATTACTTGTTTTGGAAAAAAAGAAGCGCCGATATGCAATGGTGAAACATGTCTGATCACGAGAAATCAATCGCCATCACCAACCAGTAGTTTCTATCATGCCTGTCGAGAAGGTGACTCTGATCAAGTAAAACAACTACTAGCTTCAACGTCACTCGATGAAATCAATAAAATAGAACCGAATGGAAGTACAGCTTTACATGTCGCATGTTATTATGGTCATTATGATATTGTTAAGATACTCTTAGATGCGGGTGCATCTCGTTCCATACGTAATCGACGGTACCAATTGACTCCATTTGAGGAAGCACATACTGAACAAATTCGAAGATTGTTTTATCGTGTTAATAGTACAAATAAGATAACTTCTGATGTAGACAATGATCGTTTCACTGGATTATCTGGACATACAGAATGGGTGGTAGAGTCTAAACAGGCAGCAGATTGGAAGATCAATCTCTATAAATGTCTAAAACTTGAACAACCTTTCGATGAAGTGATTGCTTTTCTAAATGAACATTACTTAGCTAATCATGTAGCTCGAGTATGTCAATCTCAGCATGACAAACAAGTGATTCAATGGTTCTTTCATCAAGCGGTCTTGCAGCAAAATGCTCAATATATTGTAAAAGCATACACATCTGTCACTCAATTCTACAGTATAGTTAACACTCATCTTGCTCAGTTTCTATTGCGGTTCTTTCGCTGGAACTATAATGCACGACATGCTAATACATTAGAGAAATCCGTCGGCTACTTAGCTTCTATCTTTATATACCATCCAGATTTACGTTCTCTCAGTTATATAGGTATAACTTACAGAGGGATGGTACTTAGCCGACATGATCTTTCTATTTACAATGTTGGTAAGCGATTATTAAATAAATCGTTTCTTTCAACGTCTATTGATCGTCACGTGGCTAAAGTATTTGCTGGAGCTGGTGACTCAAAATGCATGCGACGAAATTTGAATAATGATCCTATCCAATATATGACACTCTGCACCTATAAAATTACAAATCCAGATACAGCTTTGTTTATTGGAACAATTTCTGAAGTACCATTAGAACAAGAAGTACTTATCATGCCATTGTGTGCTTTTCAAATTAAAGCGATTAAAAAAAATTTAGACAACGATAGTAATATTGATGTTGAAATAGAACTGGAAGAGTGCGTTAGTAGTTGCTTTGATGATGTTAATCAGTCAACAGAATTCGTGCCTAAGAATTCACAGTCGCGAATATTATGCTAGATTGAACTTTTGTATTATATTGTTAGTTTTTTTCAATAATAAACGATTCAATTTTTGTAGTGAAACAAATAAAGGCTGATATTCTAAATCTAAATAAATTATAAAAATTATTTATTTAAAAGGAAATCGAAGTCTTTGACCGTCTTAATTGATATGTACAGATGTATTTATTATCCACATGTTCCTCATTTGGTTCACAAAAAAAGTTTCAAGTCAAAATGGAGAATATTCATTTTTAACGCGAAAATAGTCATAGCGAAAATATTCTATTTTTCTGAAAGAAAAGTTCGTCTATAATTCAGCTAGCTGTGATGAATCGAGATAAAAGCTGACAGCAACTACAAAAGCAAGAATCTCCTACTCATGTTTCCGCATAATTGAATAATCGATCAATTTGAAGACGTAGTTAGATAGTTCTATTCGAAATTAAATCTATGATTTTACTTGCCCGAGATGCTGAACTAGAATAATTCATATGAACCACCTACATTTGCCTGACTCATGATAAACTAATGAAAATCCGAGAACGAAACCTTTAGAATTTCATATTTTAATTAGTAGAGAATTGAATCTTATGAAATAAAAGACTTTCTAAGAAAATATCTTTGATTACATACTATTCGAAATGATTTTCGAAATATTTTAGTTTATTTATTTCCTGATAAAAGCTTCACTAATGCACAGACAATGTCTTAAAGTCTACAATCAATCCTGATTATTTATTGAAATATTGTCCAATATCATCGAATGAAATCAACACAAGAAGTGGCAGTGCTTGACCAACGAAAAGCATTGCAGTAGTTACTTCTCTAGCAAATATCCAAGCTGATGAGAATTAAATTGATCGATCGGCATCAATATTTGACTCTTTTTCCAACTTACAGAAACTATTTGAAGAATTCAATAAGAATGAGAACTTGATCTTTCCTCGTCACTTTTGATTTCAAGATAATTCTCAGTGATATTATCACTGACATATGATCGCAATGATCGATAGGAAAGTAGGACATGGTAGACTGAGAAAGGAAAAAAACTTGAGGGATACATAGGTCTGTAGGCTAATAAATGACATCTATTCAACTCTTTACTTACCCATCTATCTAGCAACGATAACAAAGTCTTTGATCACTTCAATAAAATATCATGGAAAAGTAGAGGAGAGAAAACAACAAAGGGTAAGTAGATGACAGACTGATGAGGCAAGTATTATGACTAATAAGGTTACAGAGTCTAGCTGAATGGTGACCGAATGCTCTCACATCATTAAACAGACAAAAGAAAATGAAAAAATGACTTGTTCCGATTTCTGACACAGGGGATAGAACGACTTTTCAGTTGTCTTGTCGGTTTCTGGTAACTACCACACATTGAATATTGACCGAAAAAGGGACAAGCAATTAGCTTATTCTTAAACGAATATGAACTAGCACTTGAAAAAGAAAAAAAATATGTGAATATACTCGACTATTTCCATGCGTCGATATAATACATTGTATCGAAAAGAAAAAGTCAATCTAGAAAAAGGTTGTTCACTCTGTCCGTTGGAATTTGATGAGCTCAATTTCAGAACACAATCCCAGTTTGTGTAACACTTTAGTTTTGGTTCGTCATTTACTTTCGGATAATTTTCTACAAATGAATTCGAAATATAAATGATATCAATGAGATCATCAATAAGTGTTTGATTGAAGCTTGACATGAATAATTGTTGACAACACACTTCATTCTGACAAGAGTTATTTTTAATTCTAGTTAACGAAGCATTACCATTATATGTGAGAGCATACATAGCAATTAAGTACGCTGTCTGATCAAGCACATCTATACGTACTTAGGTGAGTGGCACGATTATTCGCACAGACATCTTGGGTATAAATGTTCGCTCCACTATTGAGTTCACTACCATTAAGTGGCATGATAGTGTTATCGTAACGTGTGATGATTTGCGTATAGGATATTTGATCATCAAACGTTTCTCGAAAGGAGTTGAGAGCACACATAACCTGTGAACCATCTGCGAATTGCCAACACGCATGTATCCATGATGGCAAATCATCATCTGATAAGTGCCCGTTAGTTCCATGATTTGTCGGTGCCAAAATCATGTCGTTCACCATCAATCGTGTATCTGGTCAAAATCGTAATACGCATCGAGGAGTCATACCGTCCTGAGAATGACCGATGATATTCATACGACGACGATTTGCTCGTTAGTACATTTTTCGAATGCCATAAACAATGAATTCAGCAGAAATTTGAATATCACCCAGACCATGGTCTGGCAGATCTAACAAACAGTACGGTCAATCAAGTTTCTTTAATTCAAGTGACCAGACAATATCGTATTGTGATGCCGCTCGCTTAGCTCCTGTACCGGGAACGAAAAGGATAGGTCCGGTGTTGTTTGGTGTTATACTGGTCAGATCACCGATACATGTCAGTGCTTTAGATAGTAGTTCGGCAGATACGGACAACGGTGGCCCAGGCCAATCTATTGGAGTAAAGATCAAATCAATACAGTTCAGCGACTCTATCGATTGAATACAAGATATTAATAATATCACGAAAAACATCATCTTCGAGTCAACACGGCACAACTTTTGCATGCAGAAAATTTCTCTTTGGTGTGAGTCGTAGCAATGAAGGTTTATTGAAAATGTTATCTTGCTATTTGCAAAGGATTTCTTTTTCTTTCTGATTCTGTTATTGATTGATCTGCACAATATTTAATATTAACTTGATATCGATACTACTGACAGGATATGGTAGTTCGATATTTTTCAAAAAGATTATCTTTTCGCTATCAGTCATCCAATGTTTAACAGTAGCTTTGTAATTCATATAAATCGATGACTGAGGATATCGGTATAGAGGTAGAATAGGTGCCTGTAGATGAGAGTCTGTTGGTCTTTATTTCATTTGCCAACGCACACTCATACCCTCAAGCTGTATTTGATAAGTTTTCTCAGATTCTTCAAATGATATGAATGCTTTAACCTTGTTTATATAATATGTAATTGTTTTTTTGTATTGTTCGATTTGAACAAATTTTGGTAAAACTGATTGTTCGTATATCAGGACTACATCTTATCAAAAAGTGAATCAGTTAACACCTGTTAACATTTGATTATCTTATTTATGAAAAATAATTCTGCCCTTCGTCAATGATGTATTTTTTAGTTTTATCTTGATCTATATCATTCATTTTTTGATATGTTTGTGGATCCAAAAAGCAAGTAATCTCGAAAGCAAGGAGAAGGAACTATAACGCATATAAGAAAACTTTTATTTAAACTCATTAAGTTATACATTTGGATTAGCTAGTTTTTTCGCTAACTTTCAAAATTCAAACATAGGCAGGATTCGAATACTTTAGCCATAGTTAGTTTTTAGCAGTGAAACAATGGATATGCAAACTTTTAGTTAGTGAGTTATATTTCTATAATACATACAAACATTATTATGAAATCAATATGATTAATACCTTGACCAAAATATACATTTAATTTTTATTTTTGTTTCGGTATTCTTTATGGTAATAGAAATCATGACACATCAGTGTGATTTCAATCACACGTGTTGTCATCTGCTCAAAATTATTCTGGAGATAAAATTTCAAAATTTGAGTTCTTATCTTTATTAATATTACTAACCACCAGAATCACTATTTTATAGAATCTACTATGTTTACAATCAGTTTTGGATGTAGAAATGTGAGAAAACTAATACGCCAACACTCACATTCATTAACACCCCATATTGAGTAATGCTCTTGCCAGTGACTAGCGCCACTGTATAAGCTGTGTTCTTGATGATTGCAAGGGTAACTACTATGGTCGAAATAGTATTCAGTGCAATGAAAGACGAGTTGAGTTGACATAATTCCTTGTAGATCAATCGACTAGATTTTGATCCCTCCAATCACATCATTACTGTTCATGAAATCAGTATTAAACAATCTTTCAAGCAGATATGACTATATACACATAGTCAGAATTAATGAAAAGTATCAATATGCGAAAATTATCTGCTATTTCTGGTACAACTGATTATTGCCGTATTCTGCTGCAATCGTTGCATAAGAAAATAGAACTGAATGCACTCTCCAATTGTAAATACATATGTTTCATCTTGCGATCGTATTTTACTTAAGTATGCAATCTTCTCGACATGTCTGCAAATATGCATAGCCATACATTATTTTTAGCGTTAATCATCGTTTGAACATCGCAAAAAAAAACTTCAATCTTATGAGTAATGATCTTTTGATTCATTTTTACAGTAAACATCAAATAACAAAACAATTCAAACAAGGTTTCGATTTTTCTGTAGAGTCCTAATCTCATTCAGAACTTATTCTCTGTGTTATAATACACGATAGGCTGATATAATTGTTGATTATTAGGCAAGATTTGACAAAAAAATATTGTCCAGATAAAATGAACAAGTTATTCAAGCATTCGAGCTAATTAAGTTCGGCTGTGTAGCTCCAAATGTTGGATTACTAATCAATATTTCCTGTTTGTTGCCGTGGCCGGTGCTGGTAATGGGTAACATGGGTAAAGTTGTTTGTGATGGCGATGACGGCTTTTTCATCACTAAGTTAGCGATCAAAATCGCAACTATGCCGACTACTAGACCAATCAAGAGACCTCCAACAATGCCCCCCACCTGAGCTCGTGATGACCATTTCCATTCGGTTTTCTCTTCGGATACGACTACAGTGTGTACAATAGTATTGGTCATATTGATCATGTTGATTTCCGATACCGTTGTATTTTCTCCATTGAAAATCAACGGATGTGCTGCAAGAAATTCTTTAGCATTTTGAAGAGAATCAGGCACCGCCATGAAAGTGACGTTTGATCGATCACTATCCAACAACTGCACATTGATATTGAAATTTCCATTATTGATCGTACTTCTAAGTTGTTCACGAGCTGCTTCAACACTAAGCTGATCAGTCGGTATAGGTGTTGTCAATGATATATTGCCCGATATTGGATCGGCTGCAGGCGTAGGACCAAGCAAAAGAAACATGACGTAGAGTGTATCAGCAGTTAAGGTAATATCATGATCGATTTCTAATTGATGAATACGTGTCGAACTAATCGGTGCCATTGTTGTTTGGAGCATGAGAAGAAAACGATCGTACAATTCTTTACGATTGAGATGATTGCTGTCAGCCAAATTACCTTTACTCAACTTGACCATAAATGCAAGATGTAGATAGGGCCAATTACGAGAACGATAGCAAACACTGATATCGAAACCATCGTTGGGTAAATCAGTGGACATTTCAAAGAACTCATATTCGATTTCTTCAGAACGATATTCTGTGCCTGTTGAGGTTGCGATTCTTTGATAGGTTCGCAGAAAAAGTGATACTGGATAGTCTAAAATCTTTGGCTTGTCTATCTGTGGAGTCAAAATTAAATCACGCTTTGACCAGGCATACTCAATGTGTGTCTCATCCCAGTTCTGAGCGCTGGGCATGCCCGTTTCTGGGCTGATCATTGGTGGATAATTATCCAGTGACATGGTATAAATTACACAGTGCATTGTCGAACCACGGCAAACTAAAGCAGATAGAAGATATTGTTGTCTCACTGTTCATACTTTATTTCATTTTTTTTGGGTCTACCACTCAATCAAGTCGATGTACTCTATCAAAAGTGGATTTAGTGTAGAAAGTTTCGTTAGTCTGTAAAAGAGAAACTTTGTCAGTATGTCTTGTGAAAGCCTTCGCAATTTTCCTCTCGGCTTAAAATCCAAAGAAAGACTCTTTCGCACTTTTCTAATAAGAAAAACTGATAATTACGTCGAGTTCCTTTGTATTGCCAAGTGTTTGTCGGTGGTTGATCGAGCATAGTCTCTTTCAGTTTGAGAAAGAACTCTATTGGATTCAATTCTGGATTAACATCAGGCCAACTGACACCTTGGAGTATTTTGCACACGCCACGTGTTTGATCAATCACGTATTTGATTTGTTCTCGATAGTCGATTATAAGTGTTTCATAATTATTCTCATCGTCGATCATATAGTCAAAACGAGCTCGTCTTGTGTCCGCATTATTATCGACACGCAAACGCAACGGATTTGTACGAACACCACGCGACGTCGTTGTAACGACTCGTACAGTATAACGTAGCGGCCATTCAATGCCTGAATCCGATAAACTAACCAAGTTGGGCATCATATTTGGGCAGAAAGTGCCTTGAGGAAGTGCGAAGAAATCAGACGTGTCCACGATTTTTGGCTTGAAAGAAACGATACTAATGATTTCATTAAATTCCAAGTTCATTGAACCATCGTTCGGCACGATCGAAGCATTCATTACATATCCTAATGGAATAGAGATATTAACTTTTGAGTCTGCACTCGTTTGGAAATCGGGCTTGACGAAAGACCAAACTCGACGCTCCGTTCGTTTGATCTGCTTGTCGACTATACAAACTTCCCACTGATCGACAGGCATATCTCGAAAGAAACCAGAACCGATGTATTTTGGTACAATCGGCTGCTGAGTATTCGAACTAGAAAACTGTATAAACTCTGACAGAAGTCGAATATGGTAGGTTCCATTAGTAAGTTGAACAGCCGATCCACCATCTAAAAATAAAATCAACTATCATACATATTCTATTGGCTAACGAAAGTAGAATTTTTATAGCAAGCTCGCATCTTTTTCATGAGCTGAATAGGTATGTGACCTTTTCGAAGAAATTAATGTTGCATGATTGATGTCTAACGGCTCTCAATCATGGAAAGAAAAAAATTACCAAGCAAAGCGACCGGGACCAGTTTACTTACCATTGTCGATGTTCACCGGAATATCCGTAACTACGCAGTGTTTTTGTGGAAAATAGGTCGTTTTTTTCAACAGATTGTAATAGTAGTATTCTAGTTCAACAAAACCTAATCGATTCTTTCGGAGCGCCATTTTATTTGCATTATAATCATAGAAATATTGAATGACAGTAACAGTGGGAGGTGCAATGTCATTGTTCACTCGTGTTGAAGAAATTGTCTCCATAATAAATTGAGCTTGGTCCGGAAGTTTTGGCAATGGCATGCTAGAGAATGGTGGTATTAGATCAGGTAGACATATATTCTGATCACCATTCCATGCAGGACCTTGTCCTCGAGCGATACAGATGGTCAACGTCATCAACAATGTAGAAAACTTGACTATGAACATGATTCTGAAATAAATATTTTAGCTGCAATAAAATAAGTTTATATGAAGTAGCATATCTTTGTCAACGATGATGTCAGCATTAAATGAAAGTGAGACTGCATGTTAAAAGGTGTGCTGAGCAGAACAACAGATGTGCGAGCGTTTGCTGTTGAAAGATAACATTGATGTAGATAAGATGCAAAGCACTAACGAATTAATTATTTACAGTCGTCAATCTCGTTTTTATTTGTCTTACCAATTTAGGATAGCTAAATCATTGGATTTTTTTCGACTTGTTCAAATGAATAACAATGACGTTAATATATGTACTTGTAGCAAAAAAAAACTGGAGAAAAGTTAGATTTGCAATATTTTCTTTGATAAGTTCAAAATAGATGATGCATACTTTTTCGAATACGACTATTTTCTCCAACAATAGTTCAAGTGTATTAATCTACAAAAGTTGTCCAAAGTAGAAGAGATTGAAGAATCGCCTGACACATGCTTGTTTTTACAATACTTTTTACCTATATGTTTTATATTGATTGAGTTATAAATATAACGATGAAGTCTTCTTTTTCATCAAATATTGTACACCGTTCGATCATGCTCGATGCAAAGACTAACGATTACCGTTGTCTAAAATATCTTAGAGAGCATAAAAACTTCTCTAGACTCTCCATTTTCGCACGCACTGGCAGACGACCCTGACATTCATTTCTGACTGGAAATTCGGTCAAATCACTTTATTTTTTTCTAAATATCGCACAACAGCATCCTTGTACAGAAAAAGAAAACAAAGTCAAATGATCATGTTCCCTGATGTTGGAAATTCTTGTCAGCGACGTGAATTGACGACTCGTCGTACAATGAAAAAAGATCCGGTTAGTCCGAGCACAATGCCAAGGGCGAGAAAACCGATCCAAAACGCTGTTATTTTGCTTCCACTTTTGCGTTCCATTGAAATCAGTTTAGTAACTTTTGTCGTGTTAGTCACAGTTTCATAAACAATCACCGTAATATTATTGGTAAGTATAATTGTTGGAGTACGTACAATGACATTCAACGAGCCTGGTTTGGGATATAATCGAACACCTTGCGAATCACCATAGACTGCAAGAAAACTAATATTTTTCGCATCGATCAACGTTCGCAAATTTTTTACTACTGCATCTAACGATGGTTCCTTGAGCGGATTTGCAACAGGACCATAGAATGGTGGATTGTCGACTAAGGTGAAAGTAACAATCAAATCTGTCATATTGTGGTCTATGACGACATTTGACATGCGAATAGGACGAATGCCAAGAGTCTCAATGAGTGTCTGCCAGACGATGAGTTTCAGAGAAGTATAATAGTTTTGAACGGGTTGTTCATCTCGATTATCGATAACAAATGCGTAGATACCATAGTAGAACTTTTCTAGAATCACCAAATACATACACGATAGAGAGTAGATTCGTAGCAAATAAGACAAAGTAAAATATCAGAACCAATATCAAAAGAAGACTCTTCCGAAGTTGATCAAACTAATCCTTCTAAATGGTAATATGAAAGGAAAGTATAAACTCACCTGTAGGCCCAAGAGCACGATAGCAATCGGCGATAGTACTATCAACCTCAAATCCAGTGAATGGATTGGTTTGATACTTGTATAAATCTAGTCAGAAAAACTCCGAATGAATATTACTAAATTCAAATCGAGTTTGAACTTACTCATTTCCGTCAGTATTACTGGTTTTTGTTGAGCATTCAAATGCATACGGACTAAACGAACAGGTATCCATGGTTCGATAGTCCGATTATTGAATTCATAAGCCCAGTACCATTCACGACGTTCGAATCCAGTTCCACTCGAGAGCGGCTTCTCGCCAATCCAAACATGACATCGCATTTGTCTATGACATTCTCTCGAGCCAGTATACTGGAAATTCATATCGTCCAAAAGGAATAAATGAAGTGGTTGCGCCATTTGAAAAAAATGGGATTGATTCGGTATCGGTAAAGCATCACTCATACTGGAATTGATCCTCCATACATTGCATTGCTGTGTTGACGTGAAATAACGATAGATCAAGCCAGTAGCGAAATCATGCAGTTCAATGGTCTGTGCACTATTATTCGACCAGACTTTGAATTGAGCAAATTGAAACGGTCGATCATATATCGTATCAACACTTTCGATGGCAAATTCTTCTCCAGATAGAATTTGTATTTCTCCGTTCATGGAGATTTTATCAGACAGATTGCTGGGAGCTGGTTTCGTGTTTGTTTGATTCAAACAAAAGATGCCAGCAGGTATTGACAATGCTTGTTGTTGCTGCTCTGCAGTTAGATTGGATAGAAACCGAAATATATTGTAAAAGTAGGTCTCTTCATTGTCAGCGAGTGTTGATTTTGTTCGAACTTCGATACGCAATGGGACACTATCATTCATATAGCCAAAACTTGGAAATTTTTCAATATCTGTCATGTGATAGGTTACGGCAACAGTAATACGCAAATCATTTAAGTAAAAACATGATTCAAAGATATTCACAGGCATGAAACTCAACTGAGATGCTCTAATAAATTTGGTACCAAAGTTAAGATTTATCTCATCTCGAGCATTGTATCCGAGAAGAACCGATGGTTTGATAAAGGGCGTCAATCGAATAGTTGAAGTAGTTGCTAGAGGACCAATCACTTGACGAAGGCAAGCAGGTGAAGTTTGACCATCAGTGATCAAGTGTAAAATCTCAAATTGTTCATTAGTATCAAAATACCAATATTCAGAGATGGTCTCTACATAAAAATAAGTATGACAGGTATCTAACTATTGACTGAAATGTTTGGACTAAACGCTATGATTGACTCTTTATTCTCATCAAGAGATATCAAGAAACTCATCTTTTATGAGATTTTGTTTCTGTTCGGTGACATTCGAATATCGATAAAACTGTACTCGAATGTGTATATGTCTAGAATATCAAACACCTAGCGTGAAAATTACCTCCGTTAGCAGTTTGTATGACTAGATCTCGTTGATTAGTGAGTGTCTGTATTATTTCTGCTGTGCCACTATTGTCGGTCAGTTCAGCAAAGAGTTCGAAACTTGGCGATATGTTTGGCCATTTCGGATCTCGAACTGTGATTGCACGTTGGGGACATAGTTGAAGATCTATTTTAGCATGACCTAACAAAATCGAGATAATCCACCAGGTTAGTATCAGAGATGAATTTTTCCACGTGATCATTTTGCTACTCTTGTCTTCGATGTATGTTTGTCTTTGTCTTTATCAGTAAGCTGTTCTGAGTTTATTGTTTGAAAGAGAATCATTAGCAAAATTGATAAGAAAAACCATGTTATAATGTTTATTTGTTGACAGGGACCATTTTCTTATCAACGAGTATGACAAGAAGAAAAAAAACGAACGCTTGACAGCATGATTTTGCAGAATGTGCACCACTATAGTTGACTAAATGAAAGAGGAACAATCGCAAGTGATTGAGACGATTTTCGTCGCCCAATGCACATCGGTTTTGTCTAGAGAAATTTCTTATTGGAAATGTTTTTTTTTACTCTCATCACAATTTACTACAATAAGCACTTTTTATTTAAAACTCATTATTTCTATTCGATAGTAGTCTGAGTTAATTATTAGTTACATTGATTTTCTAATGGATATATTTCATCAAGCAATAGATTCGACTGTTCTTGAAATTACGTGTGGTGCTTTAGCTTCTTTTACGCGTATGGAACACAATCATGTCCAGTTGATTTGCTACTCAAGGAATTTCGATAAAGATGTCAGGTTTGATTGCGAATGCAAAAAATCGTCATTCATATGATTTCGTGCTTAGACATACCATGGTAAGATAGCTGAAGGTGTTTGATTGCAACTGAATGGCTCAATACCACTTAATGATCAATGTAAGAGCAGAAAATCAATGGTAAAACATTGTCTTGACAATTTTCTTCTTCGACTTACACATGCATTTGATATTGCATAAAGGTGTGTCTCTCATGCGTCATTTCAAAAGTGGATGAATTGCAAACGGGTTGGTATATAGTGATATTCAGATCAATTCTTCATCTGCTGATTGAGACTTCACTTAGTTGGCTGATTAAAGATCTAAATTCAATGCTCGTACGAAAAGTTACTCAGCTGGCTAAAACTAAACAATATGGCTAGAGACTAGAACTATTCACTTAAGTAGAAAAAGTTTATTCTAATTAAGTAGTTTGTCTTTCATTATTATCGAACTGATATTAATAGGTGATTCGCATATAATGGCAATTTTCTAACGTGAACTTATCAGTGCCTAATAAATCGATCTTAAGAATTGATTTATCAATCATCAATTAGTGTTCGATGGATTAAAAGTTCGAGTTGAATGTATGTTCACATTAGGGGTGGACCTTTGTTTTTAATTCGACTTAATTAAGTTAACTTATTAAGTGATTTCACTTAACGCTTAATATTAAGAAATTAAGTTTTCACTTAACACTTAATATTAAGAAATTAAGAGTTAAGTGAAAACTTAATGCTTAATATTGAATTAAGATAAAGGGACCACCCCTATTTGTTACAGTTATGTTGTTAGATTGAAATTTCCATAATTAAATCAATATGAATAAATCTTGTCTTGAAAATATAATTTATTCGTCAGTTATTCTCACATGATGTATTCTGTCTCAAGGTCACATATCTCTACAATAAAATTTTGAAGTAGGATGAAATATGAATATTTCATATTCATGCTCACTGATATTAGATAAAAAGACAAGAATGCTATGATTTCTCTCTCCGAAAGATAAATGAAAGATTGAAGAGTAATGAAGGTTAGTGTCTTTGATTGGTACTTAAGAATCGAATGAAATTATACAAAAAATATATATTCTTTCACTGATGATGATTAATATTTACTTACACTTATTCATGATTTGATAAGCATAAAATGTGACTAGCTCTCGATTTAATATGTGTAAAGTGATTAAAAAAATAACTCATTCATTGTGAAAACAATAGATGAAAACGATTCTCGTGAACAATGCAAAACACTATTAAAAATAAATCGAATAAGTATATGACTATGATCAACAGATTTTTTTGATTTACAACTAAAATGAAAAAAGTTCTTCATCGCAGTTCGATATTCATTCATTTCATATTTTATTCTAATTGTAGTATCACATAGTTGCGATCAAGACTGTCATTGATGAATCGATATGATAAGTTCAAATTGATTCGTAACATTCCAGTGCAACAGTTGCCAGAAAGTCGATCTGGTATTACTTTAGTTTGGCTTAAAAATACCTCGTGTTCTTTATGCAATGACAAACAGATTCTATTGCATAAGTTTAGCAATCGATGTTTTATTGTTTATTATTCAAATATATCAAAATGTGTTAAATACTTGAAACAAGCACGATCACGTGAATATGTTATTGTTGTTGTTATATCTTATCCAATGGAAAAAATTCAACGCATTATTTATCGATTTCAACAATATCGGGTTATTCCAACAATATTTGTTGTTTATTCCGATAAAAATCCAGACCACTATAATCCGCCAATGATTGAGAATCTTCATATCTTTCAAAGTCAAGAATCAATGCTTGAACTGTTAGAGAAACGAATTGAACAATTTGAAGAACAAAATTTAAGTGGTGGTTTATTTACAACTTTCTATCGTAAAGAAAAGTCTCTGAAAGATGTTCACAACGATTTTGCGACATTTGTTTGGACTCATGTATTTAGAGGTTCGTTTTTCGAACGTGTTCATCAAAAAACTATTTTGCTTATATATTTAGTTTTATTGATGAGTATGTCTCGTGGCTCTCTTCAAGCTAAATATGAAATGTTAAGTGAATGTCGAGCTTATTATCGAAATGATGCTGTTCAATTAGCTCAAATTGATGAATTTGAACGCAAATATCAATCGAAAGATGCTATTCGTTGGTATACAAAATCTGGATTCTTATTTTATCTTGTTAATAAGGCTTTACGCAGTCAAGATATCTGGGCTCTGTACAAATTTCGCTATTTTATTGTTGATTTATGCTATCGTTTGGAAGAAGTTTCCAATTCACAATCTTTTTCACAGGTTCGTCTTTATCGTGGAGCAAAACTTAATCGAGACGAACTCGAACAACTGCAAGTTGGTTCTCTTGTATCAACTAATGCATTTTTTTCATGTTCATCTGATCGTAATGTAGCAGAAATGTTTATTGGTATTGATTTCATGACTGATAGATCACCAAGTCACAATCAAGATGCATGGCAACAGTTCGTTTTATTTATCATTGATGTCAATTGTAAAACATCTATGAATATAGTTGTAGCGGACGTCACCCATGAAAGTGAATTACCAGATGAAAACGAAATGATTTTTAACTTTGGATCGACTTTCATTATTAATAAAATTATTTTTGATAAGAATAAAGGTATTTGGTTGATTCAAATGAGTTCATCTTCGGACCATATTCAAATCAATGATCAATACGAGAAATATATTCATACACGTCTACAACACACCAATCCGACTATATTGTTTGGTCATGCTTTAGCTAATATTAGCAGTGAGTATGCTCAATCAATGATTTATTTCTATCGTTTACTAGCAATATTACCAATCAATGATGTTGAACGACCCAATATTTATTATAATTTAGGACGTATCTATCAATTTTTTGAGAAATTCAAGAAATCTCTTGAATGTTTTCGATGTGCTCGATTACTCATTCGTCGTCTGTTACCAGAGAGAATGTTTGATTATTGTCGTATTCTAGGCGGAATGGGTACAATATACTCATACTTGGGAGATTCAGAACGAGCATTGAAATTACTTAGACAAGCTTTAGAGCTTAATAAGAAATCATTTCCAGAAAACCATACGGAAATTCCGTTCCATTTGAATCGTCTGGGCCATGCTTATATCGAAGCCAAACAATATAAACATGCACTTTTGATTCTCAACAGTGCTGAAAACTTTTTCCAGTCAAATATGCCTACGGATCATCATGGATATGCACAAACTTTGCATTCAATGGGTTTAATTTATCGTTCTCTTGGTGATGATAAAAGAGCATTGATTTACTTTCAGGAAGCACTACGGAAACGATATTCATTACTTGGTAAAGATCATCCTCGTCTTGCATCTATTTATTATCAACTGAGTCTCATATATAAAGATCGCACTGAGTACGAAATTGCACTTGATTATGTTAAAAAATCTCTAAATATCCAATTGATCAAATTGCCACAGTCTCATTCTGAACTAAAACTATCAAAAGAACTTCTTCGACTTCTACAGCAACACTTATAAAAAATTTCGAATTTTTTTTTCTGTCATTGAGTTTATTGTTCATGTTTGTTTATGAATTAACGCTCCTATTCTCTCCCCCCCCCCCCCCCCCCCCCTCCAACCATTCCAATAAAACTTTTTTTTTTTTTTGTTTTATAATTTTTGAGGGATATTATCCGATTATAAAAGCAGAGGGTAAATACATTTACCCAATATCCTTTACATCAA